AATACTTTCTTGAGGTGTGTCGTATGATCGACCTTCGTACAAGACTTGACGATCATGTCGTCCATGTAGACCTCGAGCATGTCGCTGATATCTCCTCGAAAGACTATGTTCATCATTCGTTGGTAGGTGGCGCCGGCGTTTTTTAGGCCGAAGGGCATTACATTGTAGTAGTAGTTGTCTGACTCAGTCATAAACGTCGTGCTCTGTTTTTCGGCCTCGGCCATGGGTATCTAGTTGTACCCCGAGTACGCATCCATGAAGGACAACAGTTTGAAGCCCGCCAAGTTGTCGACGAGCTTGCCGATGTTGGGGAGGGGATAGGCGTCCTTAGGACATGCCCGGTTGAGATCAGTGTAGTCAACGCACATCCTCCATTTTCCATTATTTTTCTTTACTAGTAAAACGTTGGACAGCCAGGTTGAATACCGGGCTTCCAAAATAAAATTTGCCTCTAGAAGGTCTTTTACAGCTTTTTCAGCAGCCGTCGAATTTTCGGAGGACTACTTACGCCTACGTTTCACTACGGCCCTAGCGGCTAGGTTGATGAAGAGTTTATGGCAAGCGACCTCGGGATCGAGTTTGGGCATCTCTGTGACGCTCCAAGCGAAGAGGTCGGCGTTCTCACGGAGGCAGGCCTTCAACTGCTTCCTCGCTAGGTCGGGCAGCCCCGCACCAATCTTCACAGTCTTCGCCGCGTCTTCCCCGAGGTTCACGATCTCTAAGTCTCCGTCTGGGATGGGGCGCATTGTGTGGATAGGTTGCCCGTTGATGCTCAGAGGAGTGTCGCTGGCTTTGTCCTCGTGATGTGGCTCTTCGGTGAAACGACAGTCGAGGTCCACTGCGTCGACGTGCTCCTTCGGTTTATTCTCCGGAACGGGGAGGGGCTTAGGCGCCTTGGTCATGGGGCTGATTGTGCTAAGGCCCTTCATCGCTGCGTCGAAGCACCAGCGAGCAGCTTCGATGTCCCGTTAAGGTTGACGGTGGCTCCTCGTCTAGTGTAGTACTTCATCTTTAATTGGACGAGTTATGGCACTGCGGTGAGTTCGGCCACCGTCGTCTTGCCTAGGATGCAGTTGTACAGAGATGGGCACTCGATGACCAAAAAAGGAACGTTGATCTCTCTGGCCGTTTCCTTCTCCCCGAAAATGACCTTGAGCTCCACGTATCCCCACGGCCTTATCGTTGTCCCGTTAAAGCCCTGGAGGTCAGAGCCTAGGTAGGGGGACATGTTGGTTTCGTCGAGCTAAAGCGTCGCGAAGAGATGGGTGTACATGATGTCCATCGAACTCCCTCTGTCGACTAGGATGCGTTTGACATCGAAGTTGGCCATCTGCGCTCGTATCAGCAGAGGAATGTTCGAGTTGGGGGCTCCCCCGGGGAGCTCCTCGAGGTAGAAGGTGATCGGGTTGGATCGGCCTCGGAATTTGTCGAGCGTGCTCATTTTTCCAAAGCTACTTCTTATTAACTCGACGAACTTCCGTTTAACCGACCCAACCGAGAGCTTGCTCGGGGTTCCCCCCGAAATGACCATCGCCCTGGGGAAGTATTCCCACCGACTGGTGAGGCAACCTGGCTCCTCGGGCAACTGAAGCTCGGCAGGAAGGCCGAACTCCCTTAGCGCGAACCAATCCTCAGGTCGGTCAATGCTTAGGACCACCTGTAGGCCGAAGTCGTTGTTGGGAGGAGGGAGGTCCTCGACCTTTTTGTTCTCGGGAGCCTCCTATCGCGGGGGGTCTCCTCCTCGGGTATACCTCTTTAGGTGCCTGACTTTGATCAGAATCTCGATCGCGTCCTTTAGGTGGATGCAATCCTCCGTCACGTGTCTGTGGCTCCGGTGGAAGCGGAAAATTTTCGATTTGTCCACATTGTCTTTGTTAGGTGTCGGTTTTGGGAAACAGACACCTCCCCGGACAAATTCTGAGTTGGCGCACTCAGCCAGTATGCACTCGCGGGAAGCGACTAGTGTCGTGTATTCGGTGAAACGGCCAGCGGGCCCCGCTGCTTACGAGGTTCCCGGGAGCGGTCATCTTGTCGTCGGTCCCCCCCGCGCTTGGGGGTTGATGCTTCATCTCGGGAACGCCGGATAGCTTCCCGGTTTCTAGTGTCATGGACGGTGTTGGCGGCCTCCGTCTCCTCGTAAGGGATGTAATGACGGGCTCTCTCGAGAAAGTTATGGAGGGAGTTTGGCCGGTGGATGGCTACAGCCTCGTAGAACTTGGAGTCTCGGTGCAGGCCCTGCTCCATCAAGTAACGCTTCATCTCGTCTGAAGTCGTTACCTGGACCTCCTCCCGCGTGAACCTCTCGATGTAGTTCCTGAGAGACTCGTAGGAGGCCTGGATGATCGTGCCTAGTGCGGCCTCTGTCTTTGGATGTCGTCTTAGCGCCATGAAATGTCGTGAAAATAAGTCTTTCAGGACTCTACACGAAGTGATGGACTCAGGCTCCAGGCTCTTGTACCATGCCATGGCGCCCTTCCTCAGTGTTTTTGGGAAGAGCCTACACTCGATGGCTCCTTGAACGTGCCGGTAGTCAAGCATATCCTCGATTTCTTCCAGATGGTCGTCTGGATCCGAGGTGTCGTCATACGTCGAGAGGACAGGTGGTTTCTCCATCCCATGGGGGGTGGGGGTTGCCATGATTTCCCGCGACAGGGGGGTCCTGTAGTCGTCCTCTTTATTGTAGATGGAGGACTAAGGAGGTGAATGGTCGGACCGAAGAGGCGGATTGCGTCCCCTTGGTCCCCTGGCCGGGGCCTCAGACTTGTCCGACCTTTGCTCCGGAGTGCGCCTCTCCTTCCGGGCTGATGATCTAGGGCGTTTCTTGGAGGCTACTGGTTAGGGCCTCTCCAGCGGTGGTCGGAGATTCCTTGGACGGGGAGAGGGACTCCGGGAGTTCCCGCGTTAATTTCTCTGCGGAGAGCATGATGAGGTGTCATGTTCCAGGATGCTGATGCGCTCGTTTTGTCGGAACATCATCTGGTTCGTCTGGTTGATGGCTGCGAAGAGGGCAACCATCGTCGGGTCCGCTCCGGCCGGCGTGAGGATGGGCTGGAATTCTGTCGGGCTCCTTGCCCGAGGGACGATATGGTTTTGCGCTTTCTCGGAAGAGGGGGAGGCAGTTTGGTCGTCCCGGACGTCGGTCTCGCAGAGTTGAGACGTCCCTGTCTAGTTGTCGTCGTTGGTGACAGGGACGAGGGAGGAGTTGTGAACAGCGTCATCATGGCGTGGGCTAGTTATGATCTTGAAATTTGAGAGGAGGAAGCTTTGGTTCTCTGCTCGAAGGAACGGGGAAGCTTAGTTCCCCACAGTCGGCGCCACTGATTATACCTGACCAGAAGAGGATCAATGATCTACCACGCGTCGTCAATCTGGAAGTTGCTCACCCAAAGTTTGGAAGAGGAGGGGTGTACGGCGTGTACCTGGAACACACTCTGATGCCAAAGTAAGTGACGAGCAAAGTGGAAGCAAGTACAGAGAGAGAGAGAGAGAGAGTAAGAAGATTAAGTTACCTGACCCTCTAGTTAAGAGGGTATTTATAGTGAGCCCCCATCGCAGGGCCAACGGTTAATTAGCACTAGGATGGGCTTCCAAGTCCAATGTTAGTAACTGTTAGGGCTGACGTGGCGTCGTGAAGGTCAGGACGTGGTCTTCGCCCTAGGGTAACTGTTTCGCACTATCCGAAAGGAGGAAGACCGAATCTCCAAGACGTGGGTAGTTACTTTATGACGTGTCCCTGCGTGAGAGACATGTGGAGGACGTGGGAGAAGGCCCGAGGAGTTCCCCGGGCAGATAGAGGTCGGCTGGTCGGATGCGAGAGCCCTGCCCAACAACGGGAAAAAAGGAGGATGGCTAGTCGTATGCGAGGGTCCTGCTCGACAGTTGTTGGCTTGTGCCCGACGGGGAGAAAGGTTGTGCTTGACGGGTCTTCTGCCGGTCAGCGTGGTTCAGATGGGGCCCAACCCTATTGGGCTTTAGGCCTGTTAAGCAATGGACTAAGCGTCGGCCCAATCCAGAACAGGTTATATATTATATGGTTGAGTCTTCTCTGTAACCACATAATCAAAAAGACAATTGACAGCTCTACAACTTGACTCATTGATAGTTGTGAACATGACTGTGAGATACAAATGAAGATTCGATCACTTATTTTTTTAGAATTCTGAATCAAGATAACAAGAACGACAACCCTTATTCTTAAACAATGTCTACAATAAAGAAGTGTTGATATTCTAATTTCATATAATTAATCGGTGAATTTTTTTTACTTACATTTTCAACTGTAAAAATTCCAACAAATTTTTTTTTAATTACAACATTAAAAAATATCTATACACTATAAACACTAAAAAAAAATACAAGTTAGGCCAAATCAAATTTAATATTTCAATAAACATTTCTTCCGGGTGTGCATTTTGGTCACGCCACCGCAAGTTTGTTGAAAACTTGACTAATGAAAATGCACAAGCTACAAGCTGCAGCTTTTAAAGCAACCCGCGTACACTTGTTTGTCTAAAGACACATGTTAAGTACTATTTAGAGACCAAACAAGTTTTGTGAACCAACTTGAAATAGTAATCAATTTTGATGAGAATTAGAATAGTCCAACTACCATGTGAATTAGCACGTGTAGGGACAATAAAAGATTCTCGTGAATCAACGGAGGATATACTCTTCACATGTGACCCTCAGTTAGTTGGTGCAACAGTAGTAGTACTTGACTCATACTTTATCATCACGTTTTAATGTTTTGTCTATGTATGAGAAAGACACTCACATTTATAACTACTACTACTTTTCATATCCACCGTCCCTTTAACCAAACAAAACCATATCACATCGAATTTCTGATCCCAACACCTTCTCCACCATTCAATTCATGCATTAAGCTCCAAATATTCAACCACTTGCTTCAATCATTTACCTTATATAAAGGTTCTTGTGTGTTTGTTTTCTACTGCTACAAATATCTTTTTTTTCTGATCTTGCTTTAATCACAAAACATGTTGCTAAGAAGTTCTTCAACACCAGTTCTTGGTTCTCTTCTCTCATCTGGTTCCTTTACAGATAGTCCTAATCATCATCATGTACCGCCACCGACACATCACAGCAAACTCTCTTTCCATCAATCTGGTTCATTCAATCTCTCGTGCAGTTCATCTCCGATCTCCCCTTCCATTGCTGATCTCGAAAGACAAAACAAAGGGTTGATTAGAAGAGTTCAATCTGAAGGAAACTTGGAAGATTTAGCTTATGCTAATGAAGAGAGATTCAGTTTTATGGATCATTCTTCTAAGAGGTATTCAGTTAGACAAAGATGTTTGCCACTTGAGACTATTCCGTCTTTCTCTCTTTCTAAGCGAACTGGTTTGCGTGAAGAAGAAGAAGATGCGGAAGAAAGTGATGATGAAGATGTAGAAGGATATGATGATCAGTTGAGTGTGATGCGTAGCATGAAGGTGAGTGGAGAAATGGATAGAGTTTGCAGGGTGAGTTTTGGTGAGGAGAGAAAGGTTGGTAGTAAAGAAATGTATCTTGCAAAGGGGCTTGGTGTGGATGTGTGTGGTGATGGAATAGGTGGTGGCTGCAGAGGAGGAGGCAATGGTGGTGGTGATTCTAGTTCCATGGGATCTAGAGGGAATGATGGAGATAATAATAATCATGGGGTGGAAGAATATTACAGGAAAATGGTGCAGCAAAATCCAGGGAACTCGTTGTTTCTGAGAAACTATGCTCAATTTTTGTATCAGGTAACACTTGTATTTCTAGTTTTCTACACGCAAACATGGTTGTATTGGTGATGATTGTAAAATTGATGTTGCTTATGATTTGACAGAGTAAGCAAGACCGTAAAGGGGCAGAGGAGTATTATTCCAGAGCCATACTAGCAGATCCAAACGATGGAGAAGTTTTATCACAGTATGGAAAACTAGTTTGGGAGGTACATCAAGATGAAGAAAGAGCCTCTAGCTATTTTGAAAGAGCAGTGCAAGCGTCTCCTGAAGACAGGTACATTCGGATCAGAACATGTTGTACTGATGTAACAACAACCTTAGATGTTGGAAAATCATTCTAACAGTTGTTTGTGTTTTCATGTGATGATATATCAGTCATGTACAAGCAGCTTATGCGAGTTTCCTTTGGGACACAGAAGAAGATGAGGATGCAGGTTGTGATGAGATGCAATGCTTACCTCAACATTTTCATGTGGGAGCTATGGCTACTACTGGTGCTTAGAAGAGATCGAAAATGCTGAAAACAGTTTCTGATGTATATAAGGGTCTATGAGATGAATTGGAGTTTTATTGTAGAACGTAGAGAACCAGTAATCACAAGCTGATTTCCATTTGCAGTGTCGGTTCTTTCAATTCAGAATTATTTAGCCGTGCTACGAGTTTGTAACCATTTAATTAATCAACAAACTAATTGACCAAGTGTTGTTATGTTTGAGATTTGTTCTTAGCTAGTTGATTTGGCAACAAAAATACAAACTTAACAATGGTAAAATTGCAAACACTTACTCGAGTAACATTATAATCAATGGGGGGAAAAAGTAGGAATTATTAGTTGAATAGATACTACAGCAGAAACCTCACCGCAATAGAGCGGAGAAATTTAAACAAAATAAGAAAAAATAGTAGTTCCTAACTTGAATGAAGATATTTATTTTTCTTCAGAATACAAATCCCCAAATTGGGAGACTCAATAAAAAGGTGTAAAAAATATTGGAAAATTTACATAAATTCTTCATATAATATTTTACTTAAATTCAGTATAGATTTATACAAGATTAATAGATATTCATTTTTTAACTCTATTATAAAACTGAAACTGCAAAAACATGAAAGATTTCTTAGAATTTTCCTATATGCCTCTACTCCCAGACGCTTCAAACTTTTAAACAAGGCGTAAGAATATGTTTGGAGTGAGGACTTTGGAAGTAAGAAAGGACTTATTTTTCTTTCATTAAAGGATTCAAATGTTACATGATTGTTTGTCCCATTATTATTCAAGCTTTTTTAACTTTCAAATACAGCAAAGTATAGACTCAAAATTCAAAAACCCTCTCAGAAATCCAACTCTCAAAAACACCCAAAGAAAAGGTTTTACACCAATTTTCAAACCCCTGGCCAAATTAAAACATTGAATCATAATTCCCCCGACACTATTGAAATAAGTTTCAAGAAACGCAATGAAATGATCAGCAGCACAACCCCAACAATCCCTTTTTCCCCTTACAACACTTTTCTCATTAAAAACAGCATCCATGATCCTGACATGTAGCAATATAAATAACAAAATTTCCCACCTGAATGGGGCATCATATAAACCATTCAAAGGGAACTAACTTATCTATACTCGCAAAACAAACTATTAAGTCTCAACAAACTCAAAATGTAAGAAATCCTTTTCAGGAAGCCACAGAAGGAAAATGTTGTCCATTAGATACCGAATCAAGCTCAGATTTCACTAATTGTATAAGCCCCTTCAATTACACATTCAACCATGCTTTCACGACATCTTCCTATCGTGAACCATACTGAACATAACCATCGCCTCTGGGTCTGGTATAGTCTGAAGTATCCTGATAATATCCCCTTCCAGAGCTCCTACCACCAAAGCGCCCTCTTGGAGAATCTGTTGGATAACTGCCTCTGCCTCTTCCCCTTCCTCCTGAAATAGACATGTGAAATGGATATCTATTACAAAACAAAAAAATCACTACTTCATATGAAAGCTAAAAGATAAAAACACTCAAGCTAACACAATAGTAAGAGTATTGAGTCTATATTACAAACACATCATTTTCAAATAGTTTCATTGAAGAAAGAAAACCAGTATAAGAGGACGTCGAGGACAAGATACAGTTCTTCACAAAACACAGAATAAAAACAAACTACAAAACAAACAGGCTCGTAAACCCAGTCTCTTGGAATGTCTACCTTAGAAGCTCCCTTAAATTTTTTTAAATATCTATTGGCATAAAGCCATAGAACAAAAGGCCTACAATGCCAACCCGCAATTAAGATCTAAACCCATAATTCTTCAAAACAATGATCATTTGACAGTAGCAGAAATGCAAAATAATCGTTGTTGGCAACACTAAGCCTAATTTTATGTTAAATTAGGAAACAAAAAAAGTAATTCTGAAGCTCCCATGAATTTTTTGGCAATTCCCAACACTGTCATCCATTCCTTTGGTGGATATAATAGATCCAACAAATTGTCAGAAAAATATGCTTCCCTTTATTAGTCATCTCCTACCCTGCATAACCTCATGCAACCCAATGGAACCCCAGAAATATGCCCACATATTTTTCAGAGCAAAAACGGTTAATGATAAACTTTCAGCTCCCCACAAGGCATCACTATCAAGCAGCACCCATATTGCAATAATTATTCCGTTTTATCACACTCGGACTCTATGATACATGACCCAGTCCAGCCATATTTCAGTTCCAAACAAGATTCCCGAGGCTGGTAAAGCCATCACAACAACCAGTACATTAGCATGTACAGCCATAACTATCAGTCCCCTGTAAAACTAATATGGCATGCACACATAAATGAGACGGCAAGAACAGCCACAGGTCTAATAATAAGAGCTCCAAAGCTACTGCACATACATGAGACCGACATGGTCCATTAAGCAATGGAAGTAACAACTAGCAATCAATACTTTCAAAGCATTTTGACCAACAGGTAAAACTCTCAACGTTAGAAAGAGTAAGAAATTGAGGCAAAAAAATGAACATTACTTCCTCCTCGAGTGGCACTGCTAGTGCTTGGTCTTCGCTCCTCAATGTATATTGGTCTTCCATCCATATGTATTGGAGAAGCCTAAAATAAGTGCATAAATTTAGACAAATGTGAATAAAAAGTTGTGTAAGTGAATAATATGGACATCGCAGTTATTGCAGCATACGTATAACAAGACCATTGATGTTAATAGAGAAGCAGCGTTAGATATACTTTATAAGCAGAAATTCTAACAGGATTAGATATTGATTGATACATGACATCAAAACGTAAATTTAATTAAAAACCTACACCCACAGACTTCGGTATGCCAATAATATAGAAATCATGCTTCAAATATACATAAACCAGGTAAGTAAAGCATAAAAATTAAAAATATAAAATGAAACGACAACAATGTAAGCCAATATCCGTATGAAAACATCTGATGATGACAAGAGATCAAATGAAGGAATGGAGAATGTTCTTGCTTGAAGGAATAGACAAAAAGGAATTTGTACATCTGTGGCACTTTTAACTAATAGCATTGTCAAGCAAATAAAAAAGTAGAACTGCATCCAGTATCTTTATTATATTTTCTGATTATTATTAGAGGTATGGAAAAATTAGATAATCAAGCATATATCATGTCTAAAGGCAAAAAATATTTAAATAAAATAACATCAAACCTGAAGCGCATTTTGAACGCCAATAACGTCTTCGAATTCCACAAATGCATAGCAAACTCCAATTTCCTGTAAATACCCATTTCTATTTTAGATTTTGCTTTTTTCCTCGGTTGAATGTATTGTTGTTCAGTTTTATGTAATGAGGAACTACCTGCTTGACCCTTACGAATATTCCATCTGGCTTAATTCTGCCGAAATTCTTAAACTCCTGTTCAATCTCAGCTTCGGTAATATCAGCAGGCAGGTTTCTTACATAGACAGATGTTACTTCTTCTGGAACAGTTATAGATCGGGTGTTAATTTGATGACTCAACTATAAATTCTCAGACAATATTGATTTCAAATCAATAATAATGCAGCTTAGGTATAACAGTCACAGAAATACCATTTCCAGGGTCGTAGAACAAAACATCAATTTTACCATAAAGAATACTGAGTTTGATTTTTAAAATTCCTTTGGGAATTTTCTGATGTCTCTTCCCAGACAATTCTGCTTAAAAAACATTTCAACAAGTAGGAGTGTAGGACAATAGTGTAAAAAATTAAACAAGCTCCATTTAAGGTAAACAAATGCAGCAGTCAAGAACACGCCTGAAGGGATGCTCCGAAGGATGGGTAAATAAAAAATTTCCCACATTTCATCAACACAAGTACTAAAAATTATACAGATACCATACCACATATATTAATAAAACAATTATATTAGGAAAAAGAATCAAACCTTGGTCAAATCTGTAGCCTTCCACTGCTGCATCAGCCCCCGACTCTGAAACATAGGCAGATGCTGGGCTTGACTGCTGATAAGCAGGCTGCACCACAGCCTGCTGCTGTGTCACATGATTAAACTCTGAAGGAGGAGCACTTTGAAAAGAATGCTGTGGGGCATGTTCGGGTGCGGTGGGCAACACCGATTGGCCTTTGGAGACACGTAACTACAAATTCATTCAAACATGATTGTATTAAGATAGCGGCAAAAAGAGGAAAAATATTCTCCTTTACTACAGATTTGAGTCCAGCAAACAACAAAGGGCTATAAGTATTTAATGCCTAAAATTTCATTAAAGGAAGCTTCAAAATAATTAAACTCTGACAAAAAGGAAACCTTATTTCCTTCGGGGCTTAGAATGTATTGGTTTGGCATTTGCAACATCCAAACTAAAGTTTGCAACTATCCAAAACCAAAAATAAACATGCACTTATTTTTTAGCCCGCTTCACGTTTGGATTTTCTTCCAGCATTAAGAGACTATAAAATATTTCTCTCTGCAGTTAATTGTCCGCTAGTAATTCCATCAAAAACAAGTTTCCATACCAAGGAAAGTTCAAAATACAAAAATATAGACACGGAGTTTTCAATGATGTCAAACTATTTTTATGGGCAGTGTAAAGCTATGTAGAACCGCCACATCTGAAAAAAGGTGTTTCCGTGTCCATGTTGGATACCTATACCGACACTTGTGATTACATTTAGTTTAATCATTTTTTCAAATTATTACCTATGTTGTTGTGTCCGTGTCCGTGTCGTATTCAGGGTGTCCGTGTCCGTGTTATATTCAGGGTGTCCGTGCTTCATAGGTGTAAAGAGATTTTTTTACTGACACTGTACCAAAACTAAAACAATAAAAAAAGGTAGATGTGGATTCTTCAATGATGTCAAACTTTGTTTATGGCACTGAAAAGAGATCTTTTACTGACACTGTACCAAAACTAAAAAAAGTTGTTTAATAAACATAACTGAAAGTTGTACATACAATGGATGCATAAGTTTTCTTAGCAGGCTCCTCAAAAGACTCTTCCACAAGAGCAACAGGGGTTTCACGGATAGTATGAGCAACATTATGCACCGGTTGATATGCCTCCAGTGTAGGAGTTTCCTCCACCACAACTTCAGCCTCGAGATCTTCTTGTAGTTGCTGCTGCTGCTGCTCAGGAAGACTATACTTGTCCACTGGATCATCATCAATATGAACTGTGTTGATATATTCTCTTGCTTCTTCCTCAAAACCATAGTCCGAAACTGATAAAAAGATTAACAGCTAAGAAATTATTGCACGGGAAGCATGCTTCTTTTTGTCAATGAAAAATGTAAACACACATAAACATTTTTCCTATAATCTATATGAACTGAGTTGATATATTCTCTTGCTTCTTCCTCAATACCATAGTCTGAAGCTGATAAAAAGATTAATGACTACAAAATTATTGCACAGAAGCATGCAACTTTTAGTCAATGAAAATTTTAAACATACACATACAATTTTCCTATAACCACCATCACCATGAAACCAATTCTGCTAAGCCAGATTATTAGAAAGTACCATTAACTAAATATGAAGATACTGAATACACAGACCATTCATTTTTTAACTAGGAGTTTCAGTTTGTATAAACACTAATTAGATAGCAGCACAGATATCTCCGGTTAAACTACAAACAAATATCCTAAAACATGATTCTGAAATCAAAATACCTGGTGGTTCAGCATAAGAAGCAGAAACATGAGGCTGTGATTCAATCCTCTCAGATGTCACCGGTATCAGATTCTGATGCACTACTTCATCCTCAACAAACTGAAATATATCATTGAGCACAAAGTAACCCTTCTCCTGAGGTGCAAGAAAGAAGGTTTGAACAAATCTCTGCCTCCTATTGGCATCTTTGATCTTAACAAAGCCCGAAACCATCACAACCACTCCTCCATTCCAAGAGTCAAGAGAATTGATTGTCTTGATCTCAATTGCCGAAAAATTCAACGTTGTAACAATATTATGAATTTGCTGCACAACAACAACACAATCCAATTCAACCCAATCAATACCCTCGTGATTAAAATCACCTAGATGCTAAACCCCTGCTACCCAGAAACCTTAAACAAACTGAAAAAACAAACAAATTTGAGTGAGTATAAGATGTATTACCAACACATCAGACGCATTCTCGGTATAATCACCATCTACGCGAATCATCGAGCTTAAATCGGAGTAGAACTGATGGACAAGATCGGGCTGCTGACGAAGAACTTGATAGTACTGTCCAACGAAGTAAGAACCCACCTGCAAAGAAAAAAAACTATAAATTTACACAAATCAAAAAATCGATTAAAAAATTATTTTAAAAAAAAAAAAAAAAAAAAAAAAACCTGGGCAGCACTAACGGAACCCTGATACGAAGACGCCATTACTATAGCTAAATTCTAAAGCAAAACAAGCATGCAATGTTTCTCCTAGCTCTGGTGGCGGATCTAGGAGAAAAATGAATCAACGAAAACCCTAAATCTTCGATAACACTGTTCCGAAAACGAAATCCCAAAGAAAAAGGTGAAAGAAAATGCGAATTGAAGAAAAACAAAGGAATCGAAGTAGATTGATATAGATCGAGAAATGAATGAATCGGAGTGGTTCTGCAGTTAACTGAACAGACGAAGAAAACGAAACAGCGAGACAGATTCTGTCTTTCATCTTCTTTATATATATGTGATTTCGCAAGGGGTTTAGGATGAAATCCTGGCCGTTGGATTATTATCATAGATTAATTATTAATAAATGTTTTTAATTTTGTAATTTAGTAGAAATAATAACGTAAAATTTCAGGGGTCAGATTGCTTTCAAGTCAACGAAAATGGACGGACGGAGATGGATGAACTTGGTTGGACTTTGATGCTGAATGTGTAAACTGTGTGCGTCAGAGTTCTATTCTTTTCTAGATTTTTTTTTTCTTTCTATTTCTTCTCAATTTGTTAGAAAACATGAATTCGATGTAGTTTGATAGATCTAGTTTTGCTTCATTTGGATAAAACTATTTTTAGATTGTTTATGCTCTTCAAACTTATGATGATGTATGTGGACATTCAAGGCATGGAAAAATAACTATTTCCATATAAATAAACATGGGATATCTTATAGAACAATTTGTTGGCAGGATTACAATTTTTTTGACAATTTAGAAATGGGGAAATTTAGTCTTTACTAAGAATGTAGTTTAAAGGCTAAAATTTATTAATGTATTTAATCTAATAGATAAAATAAACAAGCACATGAATTTAGAGTTGCTCTAATTTTCTATAGTCGAAAGAAGATTATGTGAGTAAAAAAATAATTGAAGTTGAGATTTTTTTTAAGTATGTTGAAGTCCTCATGAGATATTAGATTTAATTAAAATTTTGGGGAAGTAAACAATTTGATATTTGACTTATGCTCTTTATTTGTAGTGTCATTATAAAAAAAAATATTGGCACCGAGTCACATTCTAAAAAGACGGTGCACACATGAATCAAAGATTTGAGAACTGTCGCGAAGGAGAAAAAAACTAGACATAGAGCGCGAAGGAGAAAAAAACTAGACATAGAGCTCCATGTACCTTAGAGTGAGAAAAATTGTGTGATACTTGCATAATTATCTTATCTAAATTTTGTATGTCACGTCGCTTGACAAAGTAAAACTAGTATTTATCCATAAATATTATTTTTGTTAATTTTGTTATTACGAACAAACTGGTCGCGTCAGAGTTCTATTCTTTTCTAGAATTTTTTTTCTTTCTATTTCTTCTCAATTTGTTAGAAAACATGAATTCGATGTAGTTTTTATTCATTTTTATCTCTTTACTATTTTGTTTAATTTACTTAATGTGTTTTTTTAGTTTAACGGCTCAAAATACCATATATATATATATATATATATATATATATATATATATATATATATATATATATATATATATATATATATATATATATATATATATATATATATATATATATACACATATCACATTCTTATTGTGTTTAATTTATTTAATATTTGTGATATTTGAATCGAACTCTAGTATCGACAATGATAGCTTTATGTTTCGACAAAAATTGTGCATGTTGTAGTCGAAGTCTGTTCAAACATGTTATCGAAATATGTTAGCTTTGTGTTTAAGTTAGCATATCAAATTGAGTTTTGCTTGTAAGGTCAATTGTTAAGTTAGCTTGTAGTCTAAGTTAGTTTAGTAGTCTATAAATAGACTAATTCTCTCAAGTTGTCGAAAGAGGTTAATTTTTTTATTCAGTTGTAATTTTTGAATCCTTATTGAGAAAGTGAATAGTAAGACTATTTTAACTGGTCCTTCTTTCTTCTTCTCTCTCCTTTGTAAAACCTAATAGTCTTTATCTCATAACTTTGTTATGTTATTAACGACATCGTTTCACAATAAACTAGTGCAATGAGCATGAAGGAGAATATGTTATCAACAAAGTATGAGATTCTGAAATTCACTAGTGTGGACGATTTCGGTTTATGGTGCTTAAAGATGCAAGCTCTTCTTGTTCAACAGGGTTTTTTAGAAGCGTTGAAAGGACCGGAGAAGATGGGTGTTGCCCTATTAGAGAAGGAAAAGACAACAATGGTCGGAAAAAGCCCACAATGTCATTGTATTGAGCTTTGGTGATAAGGTTCTTCAGCAGGTTTCAAAGGAGAAAACTGCAACTGGTGTGTGAACGAAACTTGAAGGTTTGTACATGACGAAATCATTGGTTAATCAACTATACCTAAAGCAAGCTTTGTATTTGTTCAACATGAGTGAAGATAAAACTTTGGCTGAGTAGCTGGATATGTTCAACAAGTTGATTCTTAATCTTGAGAATATTGAGGTCAAGATTGATGATGAAGATCAAGCATTGTTGTTGTTGTGTTATTTACCTAAGACTCATGCTCACTTCAAAAATACTCTCTTGTATGGAAGAAATTCGTTGGCCTTTGAAAATATTCAATATGCCTTGTACTCTAAGAATTGAATGAATAAAAGGAGAAAAAGCCATCAACAGATGGTGAAGATTTATCCGTTAAGAGGAAATTCTTGAAGAAAGATAGTAGGTTTGAGAAGAAGAACGATAAAGTTCTACATAATTCTTATAATGGTAATGCTCATATTATTAAGTGTTATCATTGTAAGAAGAAGGGTCATATAAGAAAGGTATGTTCGGGTCGACTAAACAATCATAATGGAAAGGATAATGGTAATGCAATCATTTTGCAAGATGGTTATGAATCATCTGATGTCCTGATGGTTTTAAGCAGTGACTATAGCAAATGATTGGATCATGGATTTAGGGTGTACGTGGAACATGACTCCAAACAAAGACATATTTAAAGAATTGTGTGACAAAGATGGTGAATCAATGATGTTGGGAAACAACAAAGCCGGCAAAATTGCAGGTATTGGATATGTGAGATTTAAGCTCCATAATGAGTCAATAAGGCTATTGACTGATGTCAGGTATGTATCCTAAGGGTAATGAAGGGATATGTTTTCAAAGGAGATCAAAGTATCCTAAGGGTAATGAAGGGATCGAAGGAATTCTTGAGAGGCGTGAAAAAACAAGGCTTTTATACCCTTGAGGCCGAGATTGTAAGTGGTTCAGTAAATGTGGCATCCACAAAACATATGTCAAAGACTGAGCTATGACGCTAGAGACTTAGCCATGTCAGTGAAAGAGGCCTGGTAGAATTGTCGGAAAAAAATTTGTTGTGCGGTGACAAGGTAAAAAAACTAGAGTTTTGTGAACCTTGTGTATTTGGTAATAGAATGAAGTTTAACAAAGGTAAACAAAGAACACATGGATTCATTAATTATATTCATGCTGATCTTTAGGGGCCAGAAAGAATTACTTCACACTCAAGTGCAAAGTATTTTTATCATAATTGATGATTACTCCAAAAAGTTATGGGTGTTCATCCAGAAGACTAAGGATGAAACTTTAGAAATTTTCAAAAGTTGAAAGACTCTGGTAGAAAACCAAACAAGCAGGAAGGTCAAGAGGTTAAGGACCGACAATTATGTTAAATTTTGTAATGAGGTTTTCGACATCTATTGTGATGCGTCTAGTATTGCAAGGCATAGAACTACTGCAGGTACTCCCCAAAAAAATGGTTTGGCTGAAAGTTTAATTGAACCATGTTGGAAAGGGTGAGGTGGATGTTGATAAGCGCAGGATTAAAGAAGATGTTTTTGGCAGAAGTTGTTGTGACTGCAGTATACCTTGTTAGAACATAAATTGGTTCTTAATATATCTCTATGTTTTTATGATAACATTAATGAAATTTTGTATAAAGAAAATATATACTCTAATTTTGTTCAAGTGTTTTTGTTTTAGATATCAAAATTAATATTACTCTGGAAGCAAAAACTCCTCTGAAAATTAAGTAACGCAAGGCTCTGAGCGTCTGAAGTAAAGCTACATAAGACTCTGAAGCGTAGCTGCAGAAGACTCTGAAGCGCTACCTACAGAAGACTCTGAGCGAAGAGCATAAGTAAGATTCAGAAAACTCTGGAAGTACTCAACGCTGCAAGTACAGAGGCTCTGATAAACAAGTCTACTCTGATCAAGATATTCACGCTAAAGCACTTTGCTGCACACTCTAGAATAGAGTGACTCTGATAAGAAGAACAAGGAACATCATCAGAGGATCTGATGAAAGAATTATTTCCATATTTGTTCATTTGAAAAGATGTTGTTCAAAAGAAAGATACGTTGCAAAGCCCAATGTCTACCAACGAAATTATTCCTCATTCGTGTATGGCACAGGAATTCAGACAAAAAGGATATGTCTGAACATTCCTCTTTTGAGAAAGGAAAAGTCAATAGAAGACAAAAGGAAACAACTGCACTGTCTTGCACGTTCTTTGAGAAATGAAGTGAAGTGCTATTTAAGCAAGTCTTCAACGTCATTTCAAAGTTGACGATTCATTTGACGAAATACTGAATAAATCTTGAACAAATCTTGCTAGCCTTCTACCAAAACTTATACAGTTTATTTTGTTCTTCATTTTGTGTAAACATCACTGTTTGTGATAATAGCTTTTTAGAAGCATCTAAACACATTGTATTTTATCTTTTGTATAAGATCCTCAAGAGACCAGGTTGTGGTCAGATTTCTTGAGAAGACTAAGACTGTTTGTCTTAGTGATATCACTGTAATCAGTTTGATTTAGTGGATTAAGTCCTTGTTGGAGAAAGTCAAATCACCTTGACTGGGTGGACTGGAGTAGTTTGAGTTCAAACGAACCAGAATAAAAATACCTTATTATTTTTCTATTGTCATAGTTGTTTTTAAAACCCTTATTCAACCCCCCCCCCCTTCTAAGTGTTTTTCCTACCTTCATACCTGATAAATAGGTGTCCCTCGACAGCCTTGGGAA